GTTATGTATATTGTGTTCTCGTTGGCGTATGTGGTTAGATCGAGGAGCGAGGCACACACAGGTCCGCCAGCCACGAGAGATGCAACAGGTATGAGACGCTGACACGCCCACACCCCGGTCTTTATACTTTAGCTCCTCCCACTTCTTGTGATGTCACTAGTCTTGACCCCGCCCACTCGCCCATCGACGCCTACGTACATTCTAACGTCACTTGATCAGCCGCACCTTATTGGCTGGCGTAGGACGGTGACGTAAATATATATTGCAAATACAGGGACACATTGCAAGCACCATTAAAAACATCCAGAGCAGTGTGCACGGAAGCTTAAAATGAGGAAATTCCATGAATAACATCCAAGCCTGAAAAAAAGAAAATGAGAAAATTAGATTTATGGTAAAAGAAACGACGTTGGGAGTGGAGGAAGAAAGGAGGAGCACCACAAATTCAGGATTATTCTTCTCATTGAAAGTTTCTCGGACTTTCTGAGTTGAGTTGTGGGGCTATGTGGGTTTCGTGGTGCTATGTGGGTTCGTGGGGCTATGTGGGTTCGTGGGGGGACATAATAACTTGACCCACGTAGGCTGTTATATAGTATGATAGTGTCGTAATGGAGAGCCTTCTGTGTGTACCAGCTGGATGGATGAGGGAATAGCGTTAAGACATTTACTGAATTTCGTTAAGGTGATCCTCTAGATTACCATTATTGGATCTTTGTTACTATAGAGTGGTTAATGTCTCTCTCTCTCTCTCTCTCTCTCTCTCTCTCTCTCTCTCTCTCTCTCACACACACATCAGTTCAAGGCTAACTTAATACGGCAGCTGAATTTACAAGCTAATCCAGACCATTGTAGGTTTAGTTGCTGCCGTCAGTGAGAAGGTCAGCTGGTCACTGGGCTTAACATATCCACTACCTGTGTTATTTCCACCTCACCTCTGCTGACCAGTGAATGGATGGGTACCTTCTTGAGTGGTAAGTGTGGATACCAGTGTGGATAGTGTGGATTTAGGGTGACCCCCGAGACCGAACCCACCCGACTATGGCTCCCCAAGCATGATAATAAGACCTACAATAACTCTGTCTGGTATTATAAGCTTTAGTGATTTGACACAACCTGACTGTTTCTGGTCCGGTGTTGAAATGGGTCACCTCTTCTGTCTTACTCACGCTACCGGGGACAGGAAAGTGGACGGGGAGCTGGACAGGAGAGGTGGACAGGGAGGTAGACAGGAGAGGTGGACAGAGAGGTGGACAGGGAGGTAGACAGGAGAGGTGTCTATATACAAGAGAGAAGAAAACTAATTCCCCTCACTGTCTTCTGTTCATGATCTTCCTCTTAGCTTTTCACTGTCATCTCTGAGAATATTCCTCCCGTCACTGTTGTTTACTGAAGCACTGTCACCTACCTGTGCTTCCTGCTTCGGGTTTATGATATCTTATTGACTAGTGGTGTGTAGCGGTAACAGCGCCATCCACACACATACACACACACACACACACACACACACACACACACACACATACACACATACACACACCTGTACAGCACCATTAAGGAGATGAAAGACTTGATAATAGTTTCTTAATCAACTAAAGTTTAGTTAGAAAAAAGTCTAATGCCAAACTTAGTCAAAGGTACTGTACCATCCATGTCTGAGGTAACAACAGGTGATTAATTAACTGATGCCATACAGGTGAGAGACTCAGGGTGATCGGGTGAAGAATACCCCCCCTTTCACCTTCTCACCCCCCCTCACCCCGCACCCCCTCACCCCCCCCTCTCCCCCCCCTCACCCCCCTCACCCCTCACCCCCTCCCCAAATACCTATTATTCAATCAACATTTATATTTTTGGATTTTTACTAGTTACTTAAGACCTGTGCTAGTGGTTTAGAGTTACTAGGAGGAAGTATAGTATAGTTTTATCCCTTTAAAGAGGATATGTATTTTGGGTGAGCTAGTGTTGGTGGTGTGAGGTTAGGTTAGGTTAGGTTTACGTTAGGTTAGGTTTACGTTAGGTTAGGTTAGGGTTAGGTTAGGTTAAGGGTGTGTGTGTGTGTACTGGCAGTGTTGAGTTAACCTCGTTACTACCCTGTTGTATAGTGACGTCACGTGTCTTGGTAGGTAATGTAATGCTCTCTCTCTCTCTCTCTCTCTCTCTCTCTCTCTCTCTCTCTCTCTCTCTCTCTCTCTCTCTCACGTTGCTTCCATTCTCCAAAAAAAAAAAAATATCCCTATCGTAATTTTTCTTCTACATTCACTATTTACGTTTTATTTACCCTTAACCTACAAACATACGTGACAGATATACATACACACATACACACATACACACATACATAGATACATACGTCGCCTCTGTTTGTCTGTATTCTCATGTATTGACACACTTGTTTTTCCCCGTTATTGGAACTTTTTGGGGGGAGGGGGAGGAGGTATTTATTTATTTCGTTCATTTATTTATTTATTTTTTTATTGTTTTATCGAATAGTGGAAGATATAGTGTCCGGTGAACTATTGTGTGTGTGTGTCGTAACTCTTATTTTACACACGCACACACACACACACACACACGCACACACAGACACATACACACACGTAATGTATGAATTAAAGAGAGACAAAAATAGAGAGAGACAGACAAACAGAAATAGAGAAAGAGAGAGAGAGACAGAGAGAGACAGAGAGAGAGAGAGAGAGAGAGAGAGAGAGAGAAAGAGAGAGAGACAGTCTAGACGGAGTTACACTGTCTATCTGTCTGTCTACCCCACCACACAGGCTGTCTACGTGGGGCTGTACCGTCTGTTTATCTGTCTGTCTCTCTCACCACACACACTAGAATGTGACACCGGTCTTAACCTAACCTAACCTCACTTAATCTTACCTAACTTAACCTGGTCTAACCTAACACAATTTAATCTAATTTAATTTAACCTACCTTAACCTAATCTAACTCAACCCAATCTAACCTAAACTAACCTAATCTAACCCAACTTAACCATACTATAATATAACCTAATTTAACCTAATTTGCCTTAACCTAACCTAACCTAACCTTACTTATCCAACAAACAAATATCCCCTGAATTAACGAACTCTCATCACAAGCCTGGAGCATTTATCGTCTTTGTATTCAGCTAATTGGAGACAGTGTTACCAAGTCGTGGATTCACAAACTGTTCATAAGGACGTGTTAAAATGACGACAAGACACGAACTCTCATCTGGCTATAGTGTTTATTTATTTTATAGATATAGATACTCATTCAGGTACAGATACAGATTATATATTCAGGATAGGCCTACATAGATTTCAAAATAATACCAACACACATTTTGACCAATATGTAGTGAACTGAGGATCATTTTGTACACAGAAATTTTTTTGGATCAACTAAATTTTAGAATTGCACAACAGATGTATATTTTAGGCCTACAAAGGTATCACAACTCTGTCTTGGACATTATAGGCCTATACAACATCACAACCTTTGGGATAATATAGATCTATACAACATCACAACCCTTGGGACAACACCAACACATCACCACACAGCCCTTGGGACAACACCAAAACATCACCACACAGCCCTTGGGACAACACCAAACATCACCACACAGCCCTTGGTACAACACCAAAACATCACCACACAGCCCTGGGACAACACCACAACACATCACCACACAGCCCTTGGGACAACACCAAAACATCACCACACACAGCCCTTGGGACAACACCAAACACACTCAGCCCTTGGTACAACACCAAAACATCACCACACAGCCCTTGGGACAACACCAAACATCACCACACAGCCCTTGGCACAACACCAAACACCACACGGTACAACACAAAACATCACCACACAGCCCTTGACAACACCAAACATCACCACACAGCCCTTGGTACAACACCAAAACAATACCGCACAACCCTTGGGACAACACCAAAACATCACCACACAGCCCTTGGGACAACACCAAAACATCACCACACAGCCCTTGGGACAACACCAAAACATCACCACACAGCCCTTGGTACAACACCAAAACATCACCACACAGCCCTTGGTACAACACCAAAACATCACCACACAGCCCTTGGGACAACACCAAAACATCACCACACAGCCCTTGGGACAACACCAACACACCATCACAACCCTTGAGACAACACCAAAACATCCTGCACTCAGCCCTTAGCAGAGACAGCACCAAAACATCACCACACAGCCCTTGGTACAACACCAAACATCACCACACAGCCCTTGAGACAACACCAAACATCACCCACACAGCCCTTGGTACAACTTTTAAAACATCACCACACAGCCCTTGAGACAACACCAAAACATCACCACACAGCCCTTGAAGACAATACCAAAACATCACCCTCAGCCCTTGAATAACACCAAAACATTCACCCACACAGCCCTTGAGACAACACCAAACATCACCCACACAGCCCTTGAGACAACACCAACATCACCACAGCCCTTGGGGACATACCATGTCACCACACACATCCTTGAGACAACACCAAAACATCACCACACAGCCCTTGAAATTTAACACCAAAAACATCACCACACAGCCCTTGAGACAACACCAAAACATCACCACACAGCCCTTGAGACAACACCAAAACATCACCACACAGCCCTTGAGACAACACCAAAACATCACCACACAGCCCTTGAGACAACACCAAAACATCACCACTCAGCCCTACCCATCATATAATTAATGTTCATCACTAATTTGCAGAAAATAGATCACCAAAAACACAACTAGTAAAATTGGATCCATAATCTGACACACCACATTGAGAACACGAGCACGGGAGCAGTTCTTGAGGAGAGGTCTGGTGGTTGGTGCCGCTGGAAGGCCTTGGTTACCTGCTGGAGCCACTCTAAACTTGGTCACGAAGGAAAACTCTTCTTTATCTTGATCCTTCTCATCCCCTTTATTCTGTGTGGATAAGGAGGAGGGGTTAGGATAAAGCTCTGTGTGTGTGTGTGTCTGTGTGTGTCTGTGTGTGTGTGTCTGTGTGTGTCTTTATCTTTTGTCAATTTTTTTATATTTTTTTATCTATCT